AAGAGATCTCTCTTCGCATTAGGTGACCAAAGTATCTGAGCTTGAGCTTCATTATCGATCCTTCCAATGAGCAATCAGGGTTGATTTCCTTTAAGAAACCTGTTTAGACAATGATCCATCTCCTTGGTCCTTGAAAAATACCATGATATATTCAGTGCTATCTTTTTCATGTTGGTATCATTGCCATGAGGAGTATCTTTATAGAATGGATATATTAGTAGAATGGAAGAACATGGCTTGTCAGCTGTTCATTCTATGGGGTTTAAAACTTTTGATAAAACTTATGATATTGTAAGATTTATAGTAAGTAAGTCACATGATTGCAATTTGGGTGCTCAGCAACTGGCTCACAATTTTATCATATAATTTCTGATTTGTTCCGCCTGTATGTCATATTTCAAAAATGATTTGAACATATATGTCCTAATAAGTGATCTTGGTTTTGAATAACTATTTCAAGGAATAACTATTGGAAGGTCCAAGGACTTCTCAAGGTCCTTCTCCTTTTTGGAAACAACTTTTTATTCTTCCAGCAATTCCTACCTATAATGAGCAGTTCTTGCTGTGTCTTTAATCTATTTTCTGAATCTGGATGTGCCATATTGGCATACATGATTAAATCTTTCTTGCTGTAGTGCTGGAAATCTTTCTTGCTGAAATAAAAGGCATGTAATGGTGAAGCTAATGGTGAGGTCACCGGGCTTATTCTTGTTTTTAGGATTCCATATTTTTAATGAACTTTGCCTTATAATATGTCCTTTCAATTTCTTTTCTTCCTTTGTTTCTTTGGCTATTAAGATCATTATTGATGCCTGCACATTCTAAATAACCCTATAAGCCATCTTGAAAATGCTTTTATGAAAAGAAACCTTCTATCAGACTAGTATTGATTAACCTAGACAATACAATGTGAGTAGGTTTGCTATGATAACCTAGATAGCACCTTTTATGGATTCTGTCTCCCAGTGCTGCATATGGTATCGTATCCTTCATATATTAGTATGACTGTGTATTACAAGGAAGTTAAGGATTTTATGGGAGATATTAAGTTGCACTTACACTATGTAGAATTTGAGAAAAGGAATTCTATGAATCAAATTCTTGTTTTCTTCTCACAGATTACGATCTTTGGTAAAACAGCTGGAGAGAGGAGAAGCTTCTGTTGTTGATTTAAAAAAGAACTTGGAATATGCAGCTACTGTGCTGGAATCCGTATACATTGATGAAACTAGGTGAGATGATTATTTTGGTATACTTACGTTTTGTTTTTAACTTTAGACCTAATAATGTTTTTAAGGTGAAAGGAATATTACATACATATGAAAATCATTTTGCTTCTAATAAGATTAAAAATGACATGTCTGTGTTCCTGGAAATACCACGAACAATCAGTAAACATGTTATCTTAAGAAATGAAAAAGCACTGTTCCAGTAGCATTATGCCAAGGTTCCATCATACACTTTCTCCTACCTATTCTCATTTTTTATGAGATGGAAGTGATATATTAAAAATACATAAATGAAACCTTATCTACTTGGCCCCATCCACAAAGCACAAGGCTGAACTGAATTTCTTCTATATTTTTTAAAGGCCGGGAGGATGCATTTAGTTCAGAATTATTTAAAACATTTGCCTACTTCCTGACAGTTTAGCCACCTTTTATTTTATTTTTTAAATTATCATTCAATTTATACTCCTCTTTTCTGTTTGTATGATAATTCAAGAAATGATAATAATATTTATTGTTTTGTATACCAAGGATGTGTTAATGATTACCATGGACATTTTAAGTTATGTATCACCATTATAGTTTATTAACTACTAGGACTCTGTGCACATTGTGGCAGCATACAAATCCATCAGCTTATGGTGGTATACAAATGTAATAAATAAAATTATTATCACTAATATCATTTATCAATTCAAATATTGATGAAGAAGATGTGTTTTTACCTAGTACTGAGAAGGGGAGGCCAAAGGCAATCCTTAGGGAGAGCATTCCAGTTCAGTGTTTATGTCTGCTTTTATAGAAGCCTTGAAAGACTTAGAAAAAGTATAGAAGAATTTGGAATAAAAGATTTTATTCTTTAAGTACTGAGAAGTTGCTACTGGCACAAGCGTGAGCTTCATGTTTTCTTTTGCCTTCCTTTCAGCTTGTGGAAATCTCTCTACTGTAGAATAACTTATCTTGAGCTTTTGAAATGGCAAAAGAATGGAACAAACATTGGACAAGCATTTTGGCTGAACAGCTTGCTTTTGAAAACATGCTAACTAAGTAGAAATGTGCAGTTTTGTCCTGGATATATTGCAGTTTTAATCATGAATAACACTAAAAAAAATAATGCAGCATTATGTGATTGTTCTGTCTTCTAGAAGCATGGTACTTTGCACTCTGCTGTTGTTGTTCATAGAGAAAACACAACGTCAGTAATATTTTTCATTAAATTTACCCCCTTTGCACAATAAAATAAAATAAAATAAAATAAAATAAAACAAAACTCACCCAACCAACAGATTTAATTTTGGGTTCTGCATGTCTGACAACTGGAAGAATGTTGTTCCAAGGTAACTATTGCTTAACATTTTTCCTCTGTCCTCTCCCAGGCGCCTGTTGGACACAGAAGATGAGCTCAGTGATATCCAGTCTGATTCTGTGCCTTCAGAGGTACGGGATTGGCTGGCTTCTACCTTCACCCGACAGATGGGGATGATGCTCAGAAGAACTGAGGAAAAGCCACGGTTCAGAAGCATTGTCCATGCAGTTCAGGCCGGAATATTTGTGGAGAGGTAACAGGCAGTGGGCAGAGACTGCAGATTTTATCTTTAACCTTGAATAAAGGCTATTTGACATAGTTTTTGTTTTGAGGAAGAAAACCAGGCTAAATTGGGAATGGACACTGAGAACAATTATTGTAAGTTCTTATGATCTGATGATGAGTTGTGCCTTCAAGTCAGTGTTGATTCCTGGCAACTGCCTGGACAAGTCCTTGTTTTCTTGGCAAGATTTCAGGAGTGGTTTGCCATTACCTCATTCCTAGGGCTGAGAGAGTGTGACTGGCCCAAGGTCACCCAGCTAGCTTCATGCCTAAGGTGGGACTGGAATTCATGGTCTCCCAATTTCTAGCCTAATGCCTTAACCACTACACCAAACTGGCTCTCTTTCTTATGATCTACAAAATTAAAATAACCATGAGCAAAATCATGGCCACATACCATGGCCAAATACAGATATATTGCAACTATTTTTCATTTATAATAAATTAAATTGAGACTTAAACTTATTTAAAGTGGATCCATTAAAATGAATCAGATTTAAGATAATAATTTAAGTCTCATTGATTTCAATAGGCCACTGTTGGTTTAAATTTGAATCAAATCCATTGTTTTATGAGGCCTTGGAAAAGAAAAAAGGAAATTATAACAAATAATATTTTGTTTTTTGTGAGGGCTATAGAAAGCAATCATAGCTGTATTGGTCCAGGTTGAAAAGAAATTCAAAATTCACTGCAGGATAATACCTTTATTAGGACCAATAAAATGTCACAGCAGAATGTGCAAGCTTTCAAATTATCTAGAATTCTTCATCAGGCAAGATCTTACAATAACATCCCAAAATTAGTTTGGATATTTCAGCTATAAGATGTACAGTTCAGTCAGTCCCGAATGGAGATTGTAGATTGAATGCATAATTAATGTTAGTTAATGTTGGTGGAACATTACACCTTGCATTCAAGGGAAAAGAAAATGGTTGATCCAGACATATCTGAAGACACAAAAGCTATTAGAGCTCAACAGTTTTCCTGCCATGGCCACAATGACAGTGAGTTGCTTAGAAGAATATCTGTATCTGTATCTGTATCTGTATCTCTATCTATCTTTATCATCTTCTAGTTCTGTGCAGTCTTAGGTTCATTCTGCACACTCATAATCAAAGGGATCTTGTACAATTTTTCAGGATCATTTTGCAGATTCAAATAAACATGTACAATGAATGCAATAATTACAATGCAATAGTACATATAAGATGCCCTTCCTTCCTTCCTTCCTTCCTTCCTTCCTTCCTTCCTTCCTTCCTTCC